GCTGCAACGGCATTGATCATAACACAAATGATTTCCTCTCGACCCCACAGGGTATCAGGAACGCGCGCGGAAGTACAAGATTAAGTGATGACATACGCTTCGTACATTTTACTCTACGTATACTACAAATCAGGACGAAACTTTACAAATTGTTGTTTCTAAAAAAAACAATTTGGCCCATAGAGTAACGTCATCGCACAAAAATTCAGCAGCGTCAAAAATCTAGCCGGAAAACACAGATACATATTTCAGACAATCAGGGACAAAAGTAGTTGACACACTTGTTTAAAACGGGTGCTTTTAGCAAACATTTAATTCATCTATTATTTCATTCTTTTTAAACGCCGTAAATCCCCTCACCCCCCGAATCAATGTTGTCTGAAGTAAAAAAAAGACTTGAGGGTCCAAAATTCAACATTGATTTTGGGGGGGAAGGGGTTGGGGTAGACAGGGGAATGGGATAAGTATATCCACTATGCAAAAAGGAGCCATTTTACGGAAGTGTGCCAACACTTTTGTCCCTCATTGTAGTTTCGGTGCCGTTTAGCAGGTTACTTTTAGATAATGGACACCTTGAGAAAAGTTTCCCGGAGAGCATCATGTAAAGCTCTGAGATGGGACAAAGTTATAGATCGTATTATATTCTCGTTTCATTTGGCCAAACGGATCAATCACCCTGATCCGGGCTGAGACAGAAAGGTACGATATTGTTCGCTTTTTTATGGTGATTACTGAGTCTTTGGCCTCGGGGACAGGCTCTTCTGCCCGGGCCAAGACTGTTTTTTTCTGGTGTGAAAACCGGATCTAAGGGCGCTTTCCATTTAGCCAAAATTTCCGGAATTTCCGGTTCGGCGGTAAATGGAACACGTTTCGTCGGTTCGTTCCACTGGAAAATTCCCAGAAAAAGTGGAAAATCTAAAAAGGTGGTCCCGTTTTCCCGGTTGGAATTTCCGAACGGAATGTCGTGTTCCATTTACGTTTCTCGTACTTGGTACCAGTTCTAGGTCCACGGTCGGGCACCGCCACGTACCGGGGTTTACGACCAAATGGAACCTTTTTTTACCAATGGGAATTCTACTTTTGCTACCACCGAAATTTCCGGGTTTTTTTCCTAAATGGAAAGTGCCCTAAGTTGGCCCTGCCGACCGTGTGACGTTACATCCGGGAACTTGAATAAGACGAGTGTCAGAGCAAAAGTCCAGAGGTGTTTATCTGCCAGTAGGCTGAGTTTTTCCGAGTTATTCGATGATATTTCGCTTATGTTAAACGTGAGAAGATTATGCGTGGTTGTGGATAGTCTTATCAGTGCCGCGAAAGTGTGTGATTGTGTGATCTCCGCATGGTGTTGACAGGTATGTGATCGCGTGGTTGAACTGCGGCCGGGTTTCGACAAAATATTCTGTGCCAGCCATAAATCTGCATAAATATTGTTTCGTCGGTGTTTAGCTTAGCTGATTGTGCCTTGGAAAAGCAACTCTCGACTCAGGAAAATTGGATCTAAATCTAGTTTCCGTGGGCTTTAATGGCATTGAACCATAGGCCGGTTTTTGCAGATAAGAAGGTGATAATAATATTTGTGTACTATGTTTCTTTCAGTTTGTTGTCTATTCCATGCGAAATCTTGTCGTTTATCGGACCGCGAAAAAAGTAGTGTTTTGCTAACTATTTAAGTTGTTATGTAAGCCTTAACCAGGCACTCTTTCGCTGCAGTTCACTCAACGTAAAAATTTCTAAACTGAAATGACACCGGTTTTAAACTTCACGAAGTCAGATTACTGAACAAATGTTCTAAAATTTGAGTCATTTTAAATTTGGACTCTTTGGAATGTTTCTAGGGACCATTAATTACTGCCCGGCGTCAGATAAAGACTTTTAATCGGCCTTTGAATGCGTTTTATTGTTTTAAATTGTCAAGTATTAGAATAAGTTGATATTTTTGCTAATTGCACAGAAATCAGAAAGGAGCAACTCTAAATTCGTTAAAGATCAGTGAAATGTCTCTCACAATTCTCTCATACATGCATGTTCTTTGTCGGCGAGCTCACTTGGTGAAAAAAGCACTTTTCTAGGTATAATCATCCTCATATTCTTTGCATGTGCTCTAAGGCATTGTAGAGTGATGACAGGCTACCATGTGACATTGAAATATCAGGCAAAACCCAGAACTATCGCCTGTAAAGTGTTTGCAACTTTAAAGTGACTCGATTCTACTTAATTTGGCTTTGCAAACAAGTGATAATTAGCAATTAATGAATTCGGCTTTCGTAGGATATGAAGAATTAAGCAGATCGAGGAGGGTGTTATCCACAGAGGCCGAAGGCCGAGGTGGATAACACCCTCCGAGATCTGCTTCATTCTTCATATCCTACGAAAGCCGAATTCATTAATTGCTTTATTATTCATTTAAAATAATTCCTAGTTTAAAAACATAGCTAAAACAAGCTTACCTGCATCGATGTTAAGTTTATCTTCGATAGTGCATGTTTAGGTTTGTCCAGCTCCGCAAATATTCTTCAAATAGCACATGTCGCTCTCCGAGTTGTCTTCTTACTGTTTTTGCTATGTTTTTAGCCATTATTTCGCCTAGTTCCAGCTGTAGTTCTCACTCTTGAAAGGAGTGAAGTGTCCGCCATTTTAGTTTTCACAACGAAAACAACTCAACCTCGTCCCCAGGTCTTCTCGGTTAACGGTGTATTAACCTGTAGAAGGCTGCATTTTTGACGTCATTTCCTCGTTAAACGCAAAATTCTTACAAATTTGTCATCAGTAACTGGTTATGGTGAATTATGCGTGTACTTTTAGCCAATCAGAATTGGGAAAATATTTTGAATGAATAATAATTGGACTTCAGGCACTTATTCCACTGATTTTTTTTTTAAGCATTTTCTTCCATAAGTTTGTCGTTAGATATTAGCAGCCGTCTTGGGTTTGCAGTTAAACCGCGGACAAAGTTTCTAAGCCAAGATTCTCTCTTCTTGACAGATGATAGAACGTATTGAAAGTCTAAACCCTAGGTTTTAGTAGCAACGTAGTCAGAATCAATCGAAAATCGGAGTCGTAAGCGGCGTCATTAGAAGCTCAACGGAATCGCAATCGCAAATCAAAATGTTTCCATTTTCCTATTTTTCATCGCACATATTATGACTCCGTCCAACCTAGTTACCAGGGTTTTCTTTTTCGCGTCCCTACGTACGGAGCAAGAGGAGAGGAGAGGAGAGGAGAAGATTTCGTACATTATTTTCAGTGTTCGAGATTTTGGTATAACTTGTCCGTATGAACTATAAAAATCATGACCTTTCAAGACTCAGTCAGGTGCACAGTTTTGTGGCCGCACTTTCCACTGACCTGGTTACGTTCACTAGAGACAAATCTCCCACTGATCTGCCCCTCCTCCAAATCGTTTATTTCTAATCTCCAGATTCTGGGGCCAGACCTAACCAGGGTCTCTCTCTCTCTCTCTCTCTCTCTCTCTCTCTCTCTCTCTCTCTCTCTCTCTCTCTCTCTCTCTCTCTCTCTCATTCCGTAGGGACGGTTAAGAGAGAATCCTGGGAACGACGTTGGACTCCGTCCAGTTAAGTGTTTCTGAAAACGAGTCTCAAGCAGAGACGTGCATGTAAAAAGAAACCATTCCCAATGCTACAACAAAAACAACAGCAACACCAACTTTATTGGGGTTAAACTGAAGGATGCGCTCTGGCATCCTTGTATTTTTCCTTGTGGCCCTCTTGTTTCCATTCTTTATATTGGTTTAGTTCTTCCGCTTCTGCTGGCGACTTTTAGAATTAGGTTTTCATCAAGAGCTCGAAGAGGGAAATCGACGGAGTTGCAAGCGAAATTGGAGCGTTTTTTCTATTACATTAATCACATTGCACTTTCCAACTCTAACTTGGACTCTGTCACTAATGAAATATCTAGCCCCAAATGATAACTGTATGGTCGACTTCTTAGAGGCGCGGTTGCTTTACATTGGCTACATAGAAACGCGGAACAGAAAAAGTGGGTCACGTACTTGAAAGTGATCGATTAAGTGGCAATAGAGGAAATTCCTCCCGGGTGCTTTAACGTTTGTTGGCGATCACTTTTCTTTTGTGTCTGTTATTTTCAGTTGCGGCCTTGATTCGACAAAAGCCTTCCTCAGTAATCGTTGAAGAAGGAGAAAACGTGAACTTAGAATGCAAAGCTTCTGGTCTGCCGATGCCAACGGTGACGTGGCGAAAAGCATTCGGTCATTTGCCAAGAGGAAGGACTGCAGTAATGGATGGAAACATGACTGTGCTTAGTGTAACTAAAGAGGATAGAGGGACTTACGTATGCACAGTAAAGAATATCCTTGGAGAGGAATCCGCTTTCCCCATAGTAACAGTGATTGACAGGCTCAGATTTACCATTACGCCTCCTATAAAGGCTGTCGCATTCGAGTCTAGCAGCCTGATACTAAATTGCAAAGCCAAGGGATCCCTAGAAATTACCTGGAAAAGGGCCAATAAAAATCTTCCTCAAAACCACATCATGTTTGCAAATGGAACTTTGTTTCTCAGGAAGGTGACCACAAATGATGCAGGATCCTACACATGTGTAGCAAGAAATTATCAACGAACAATAATTGCATCGTCTACTGTGGAAGTGCTCAAACCCGGCGTGTCCTGTAGCAGTATAAAATCAGGCCACAGTGGAAGTTCTTCAGGTAATTATATCATTGACCCTGATAGCAAAGGAGGCGTGGCTCCCTTTAGTGTGTATTGTGACATGAGTGACAAGGGAGGAGTTGGCGTGACAGTCATAAGTCACGACAGCGAGAAACGAACATATGTCGGTAACATTTCTGGATGTGAGTGGACTAAACCTGGATGTTACAGAAAAGATGTAACTTACAGTGGAGTCAAGATCGCTCAGCTATCAGCCCTAACTAGAATTTCACAGAACTGTGAACAATTTATCAAGTTTGAGTGCAACAATCATGTAGCCTTTGTACAGGAGTCGGTTGCCTGGTGGGTGTCACGTGATGGTAGAAAAATGAACTACTGGGGAGGAGCTGGTGGATCAGCCAACATGTGCGCATGCGGAGTGACAAACTCTTGTTCAAATGGTAAAAAATTTTGTAACTGTAACAATGGTAACTGGGGCTGGAAAGAAGACAGCGGTCTACTGACGGACAAGTCTGCATTGCCTGTTTCACAGATCAGATTGGCGGACCTGGATGATCCAGATGAAGAAGGATATCATACATTAGGAAAACTCAAGTGTTATGGCCTGGCATAAGAATTCTTTAGATATCATGTTTTAAGATAATTGAGGGTTGTGAAAAGTTAAGTCATGCAGCTAAATGTAGCAAAGGAAAATGTCCTGCAAACAAACAGTGCCATGTGTTAAAGAACGCAATTTTAAACGCAATTTTGAAAGTGAAATATGAAATTAGAAAAATAAAGACTGATAAAGTGAAAAGTTGCAAGAGCTGGTGTTTGGTCAGCAATCAGTATTTCAAACAAGAGCAAATAATTAACTTGTTCAAATAAGTTTAATTGTAATGTTTTTTAGTGTAATTGCAAACAAGACTATTATAAGATCTCTTAACGAGGGAAGTTATTACAAGACTCTTTATGTATTGTTCCCGTAGTCGGAAAGACTTGGACGGTTACGGTTCTAAACCTTTTATTTTATAATAGACCTTGTCACGGTTTTCGACGCCATCTTGACGAGTAGGCAAACGCGTGAGAAATTACAGTGTTTGTATGAGAATCTAATGTCGAATAATTTCCGTAAAACGGCTGTTCTGAACAAAATATCAATTGTAAGCTAAAGCTACAAAGCAAAGGATTGTCCTAAAAAAAATTGGGGGGCGTAACTGCGGAAATTTTTCCAGAGGCTTTCTTTAGATTTTCCATATATTTGTCTGTAATTTTCGCGGGACTTTCTTACAGACAAATGTATAGAAAATTTTAAAAAGTGGTTCTAGGTCTTCTAGTGCATGTAACGCCCTCAATTTTTTCCAGGAGAATCCTCAGGAGTGAAGCTTTAGTTTACAAATCTTTTTTTTTTTTCAGAACAGCCGGTATAAGGGAATTATTCGACATTAGATTCTCATACAATCACTGTTATTTCTAAAGCGCTTGCCTACTCGTCAAGATGGCGTCGAAAACCGTGACAAGGTCTATTGAAATCCTTTCGTATCCTTCATGAATATTTCGGTGGTTTTTGATTCTTTATAGTTTTTGTTATCATAGATCCTTTTTAATCAAACCTTCTTCTTACCCTAGACAGCCGCTCACATTCCTCTTAAACTTTGGCTTTAATGAAAAAGTCTTGTAATCACCTTCCTTTCGGTAAGCACTAGTAATTGCTATCTTCTATTGCTTGATTAAGAGTGTCAATTATCTTACGAATAGCTAATTAAATGTCGTAATAGTAGTTCGTTCAGCTGGTTAGGTTTAATTTGTTTACTACTATAAGTAAATATTGTAATCACATAAAATAACGCTTTCCCAATCTGGCACTAACGTGGCTTAAATCATTGCCGTAAAGCACGGACTACCAAATAAACGTCCATCGTTCCCTAAATTCTCCGTAAATTCTATCTAAATCGCCTCCAAAACAGCCAAGATATAAGCGTTTTAAGAGCGGATGTCTGTAAATATCGACCATAGGTAGGAAAAATGAAATTTTTGAAAAAGCCCCCCAAAATTATGTAGACTCCCCTAGGTATTCTAGTAATGAAAATATAAATTTTAGTTTCATTGGATAAATATTTTGGCGATACGGCGAATGTCAAGTTCGGGCGATTGACGGCCTCCGCCACGAAAAGACTACGATTTCAATCGAATCCAATTATCATTCAACCCAAAAAGCTTCTTATCGTATTAAAAGGGGTTTAATACACATACTGAGTGGTCATGTTCTTGAATTGATCGCAACTGCAATATTTTATGGATTTTTAAATATTTAAAAAACTTTAAGGCTTTTACGCGAGCAAAATATTGTCAGTTTTCAAAGGACTAAATCACATCCGATACATGATTTCCAGCAGAAAAAGACATTCTACGTTAAAAAGCAATGTCTAAGCTTTCAAAATGTACTTTCAAAACTCTGGGCAACATATGAAATGAATTTTTGGGAACGCAAAATTCACAGAGCACTTGAGTGTAATTTGACCTTTCTGACTCGACAGTCAAGAGGTTCGGCGCGACACAAATCATTCCTCCAACAAATGTTTCAGCCAAAATACGTTTAATTTAGGTAATCTCAAGTCCCACAGTGATACATGGATGCTTCATATACATCAGGTGGAAAGTTTCATGCCATTTTGTCAGCCGTAAAGAACTATTTCTCTGGCCTTCGGATGCAGTAGTTGAACTGGCCTCGCTAATGTAAACATGTGGGTCTAGTTCTTATCACGAAACAGCGAAGTTTTGAAAATCTACACCAACTATCTATCCTGTCTAGTATGTAATCAGGTGTACAATTTGTTTGTTTGTACCTTGTGCCCTTGTTCGACTTCATTTCCACAATGAAACTGAGACATGCAAACTACAACGACATTCCCGCTCGCTCGACAAGTCACGTGTCACGTGAAGGGGCAGTTTTAGACCTGATTGCGTTACGTATTCTAACTTACATGTTGTAGGTACGCCAGACAATCTCAATTTTTTTCTTACCATGCAGTTTTAGCGATCTCTGGCTTGTGATCCCCGAGCGTTTCTAACCAGGTCTTGTACATTACGTGTTCTTTCTTGTTTTTTGTTCGTTTGTTTGTTTTGTTGTTTGTTTTATTTCAACACATTTCCCCCGTCCTGATATAATTTATCGCGCAGGATTTGTGAAGGTGAATATTAGCCGATCTCCCCTTTGAATGTTACTTCCCTGAAGTGATCCCGCCTAATAACTTTTGATGACTTGCACTAAGTTGATAGTAGTCTGCAAAATACGTTATACATGTCGCAGAGTCCCAGTCAATTTGATGTTTCGAGTTTAAATGGTGCTCAGCAATGTGATTGTTGACGTCACCATTCCTCGTCGCGCGTTTGTGTTCGGTCAGTCGCGTGCTGAAAGGTTTCGGCCGGTTTCACCAATGTAGGAAGCCTGGCAGTCGCAGCATTTGATCTTGTATACTGCTTCCTGTCTGTCCTCCGGTTTGTCTTTGTCCTTGACATTAGTAAGCAGTCGCCGTAAAGTGGTTATCGGTTTGTGCGCATCACGTATATTGTAAGGTTGTAATATACGTGCAATAGTTTCAGAGGTGCCTCTGATGTACGGTATAGACGCTGTCGTAACAGGGCCAGAGTTGGTCTGAGAGTTGGAATCAGTGTTACTGTGAGTGTTCCGTCTAACAAAGTCCGTGTTGTAATTGTTCTTACTAAAAACGTTGTTAATTAAGATAATCAGTTTCGTCTTGTAGGCTGTCAGGTGAGTCGCAAACTAGTTGCGCTCGTCTCGTCAGAGTCCGGATAGTAGTAGCCTTGTGAGAGGTCGGGTTGTACGAAGACTGGTCTAGTAATCGGTCAGTATGTGTCGG